ATTGCTTACTAACCTTTGTTTCACGTTTATTGTCATGCTTAGCGCAGAATAAATAAATTGTTCTCAAAGATGGACGTTTCTTTTTTACACCAAAACATTCTCTTCGATTTCACTTTCGTCTGAGACTTCTGATACAAACGAAAATGGTTTGAATAATTCTGATACATAATTCGAAACTGACAGTTGACAGTTAATACAATTGACAGGCTAGACATTTCTCAAATTACTGAAGCTGTGTATAATGAACTGTGTTGCCATGGTAATGTGTTCAAGAAATCGTGTTGCCATGGTAACGTGTTTAATATTTTGAATAAATCACAGATCGTCAATCCGTTCGCTAAATGCCATTTTAGTTATGTGAGTAGAAAAATATATTTATAAAGAAATATATTGAGAATTTACATTCTCTATGTGATGAAAATGTCAATTCTTTCTCGGTTTATTCGACAGAAAACAACCACTTTCCTGGTTATGTATCACGACGAACATTGAATTATATCTATTGAACACACACGATAAGAATTTAGTAATTCAAAGCATCACTTGATACCAAAATAACGATTAACAGATACACTCACCGGCATTAAAATAATCGATCCACTCGAAATATTGATCAAATTTGATCAACAAATAACGTTGTTAATTCAAGTCTGATTTTTATCTCGTAGGTAAATTCATAAAAAATCTCACACAAGGTTGAGATTTCAAGAAATGAGGCATATCTCCAGAATTATACAAAAAGTGTTGAAAAGGAATATTCTCAGATAAATTATGAATATACAAAAATGGATATACAGTGTGTCCCACTTACCATGCTCACCATGGGTATCTTTTTAACGGTGAGAGATACGAGGTCGGTTAAATGACACCAAATGTGGAGTTTGTCAAGGCCAACTATAATGTGAAAAAATAATTTGATGAAATCTATTCGTTTTTGTTTCATACGCAAAAACAGATTTTGATCATTTTGATGTCTGATTTTTTATGGAGGATATTTTGAAATTAATAATTATGCTTTTGGATTTCGCACAACCAAATACAAAAATAATCAATTTTTAATGATATTTCGATGGTTTCATAACTTTATACAGGGTATTATTTACCGAGATTCACAGATGATCTTGCATTACAGCGCAGTAGGATGGCTCAGCACTACGCTTTCTCTGCCTCCACCTTATGAAATTTGTTGCAAATTTTATGCTGTACATTTTATAATAGGTATTAACATCATTGGAGCTATAGAATACTAGATAATCACGAATCACCGAATTTTGTGACTTTTGACCTTCAATACCTTACGACGCAGACAACATATTTCATGTACGACGGCGTTCAAGTGCCATCTCAATTATTTTTCATAATTCCGACTTATTATCTCGGTAATTTTGACTTATTAAGTCAGAATTCCGAGATACTAGGTCGGCATTCCGAAAATAATAATTGAATAATTCCGAAAACTAAGTCGGAATGCTGACAAGCAACTCTACGATTACTGTAATTCAAACTTCATCATTCCCTTTCAGCAGTCAGGTTTCAGGGAGGGCTACAGCACTGCCACAGCAATGCTGTGATGATTTTATCAGAAAATGGGATAATCATGAAGTTAAAGCCTTGGTAATGTTAGATTTCACAAAAGCTTTCGATACTCTAAACCACCAACTTTTACTTTCTGAGCTGAAATATTATGGGTTGAACTTGACAGCACAAAATTTGTTTCAAAGCTACTTGAGTGGAAGAAGTCAAATAGTTAAGAATAACAATAGTGAATCTCAATTCCTCAAATTGCATTATGGTGTTCCTCAGGGATCGATTCGATTCGATTTCACAAAAGCTTTCGATACCCTAAACCACCAACTTTTACTTTCTGAGCTGAAATATTATGGGTTGAACTTGACAGCACAAAATTTGTTTCAAAGCTACTTGAGTGGAAGAAGTCAAATAGTTAAGAATAACAATAGTGAATCTCCATTAATCAAATTGCATTATGGTGTTCCTCAGGGATTTTTTTCTGGGACCACTTTTATTCCTTATATATACTGCTGAATTATCTAATTGCCTGTCAGACTGTAAAAGCCACTTCTATGCTGATGATGGCCAATTATATCATAGTTTATTATCCCGAAGATGCCTATTCAGCAAATTATTTCGTCAACAAAGATTTACATAAAATTGTCAACCTCTCAAAGCAACATAATTTAAAAAAAAAAAAAAAAGTGTTTTTTATCCGCCAGCTTAGTTGCAAAGCAACCCTCGAAAGTCAGAGACTTGTGTGAGTTAAGAAGACGGGGACCTTAGCTTTTTAAGTGTCATCCGAAGCACTACTCGGCTGGTAACCGTGGACAATCTTCATATTAATCCCACAAAATCCACTCACCTATTATTTGGCAATGAATGTCGAATTAATCGGGTGGAGAATGATATCAACATAGTCATAGGAGGTTTTACATTAACACTAGTATCAGCAATTAAAAATTTTGGTTTAATTATTGACTCTAATTTGAAATTCACGGAACACGTCAGCAAATCTCAACTCAACTCAACTTTATTCATTTTGGAGACCATACAAGGTATAAAACAAGTCACAAGTTACATTTACATTTTGTATATATAGGTACACATATAAGAGTAAACACTAAACATACAATTTCATGAGTAAAACTTTTGAGAAATAGAGAAAATTGATAGAAAAGAAATAAAAAGTAGAGCCAGTACTAGAAATCCAGAAACTCGTCTACTGTGTAGTGACACTTTTTGAGCAGGTATTGTCTAAGAGATTTCCTGAACTTAAAGTATGTCCCTTGTTCTTTGATGATATGCGGAAGCTTATTATATATTCTGATACCACTAGATATTGGACCATTCAGTGCTATATTCAAATAGTTTTGAGGTGTATATAAGTGGTGACTATGTCTAGTTGAATAATTGTGAATACTGTCATTTCGAGGAATACAGTGTTTATTTTTATGAATGTAACAGGATATTTCCAAAATATAGAGGCAACAGAGAGGAAGTATATTCAATTGTTTGAACAACTGTTTGCATGAATCTCTGCGTCTCTTGTTTAAAAGTGTTCTAAGGCATTTCTTCTGAATAATGAATAACTTTAGTGATACAGGAGACATTCCCCATAACATTATCCCATATGTCAACCTGCTTTGTATTTCAGCAAAATAATAGTTTTTCAGAACATTGAGATTCAATATTTTGTGAAGGCATCTGAGTTGATATATTTTACTGTTAAATTTTTTGATAACTTCCCTTATGTGTGGTTCCCACTCAAGTGTGTCATTCATTGTGATGCCTAGAAATTTTACAATGTTAGTGTTGTTGATTTTATTTTGCCCAAGGTATATGTCCATGTTTTCAACTCGTCTTTGTCTGGTATGGAAGATTAGAAATTGTGTTTTGCTTGCATTAATATATAGTTTGTTTATAGAGAACCAACATAACATTTTTTCCATGAGGTCATTGCATGCTTCTTGATTTAGTTGTATAAATTCTCTTGATATTAGAATTGATACGTCATCTGCATATAGTGTAAGTTTGAATTCTGACAAGTATTCTATAATATCAGCAACATATATAGAGAATATAGTATCGGAGAAAGAACGCTTCCCTGAGGAACTCCGACTTCCACGGGTGCAATATGAGATCTGTGTATAGTTTCAATATTTCCTTCATTAGAAGATATTTGAACAAACTGTTTCCTATTAGACAGGAATGACTTGAACCAGTCATGAACCTGCCCCCTAATTCCATACAGCCATAGTTTGTGTAGCAGTCGATCATGTGGAACACAATCGAAGGCCTTACTCAAATCACAGCGTGCTCACGGATGTCCTAAAGTTGCTGTACTCAAGTCGACGATTACTATCTCTTGATTAAAAAAAAAAAGTGTGATCTAATTTCAACTATTGCGATATAGTATATGGTCCATGTATTGACTCCTTCGACTGTTATCGAATTCAAAAAATGCAAAACATCTGCACCAGACTGATCTGGGGCTTGCTTAGATCTGATCATATCACTGAAAATATTTCATCTATGGGCTGGCTTTCCATGAAAAAACGTCGTCTTCTACATGCCACTTCTGCTTTCCATAAGATTATCAATGAGCAACGTCCTTACTACCTTTATGAAAAAATATAATTTCGTCTTCCATTGCATAACCTCAATACAAGGAATCTTGCTACTGTGAACATCCCACACTAATTCACCAGTAAATTGAAAGCATCTTTCTCCTACCAACTACCACTAATTCATAATGCTTTAGACTTTAGATGATAACGTTAAAAATATGAGTATCGTGAGAAAATTCTTGATGAACAAAGAACACAATCTACCTAAATGCACAGATTACTTCTACGTCATTTAATATTTCCACAACTCAAAAAGTAGAAAAGTGAAGTGAAGAAATTAGATTTGGTTTGTTTTCTTGGAAAATATATTGTAATACATATACTTATTATACATATATTCATCATTATTCACTTAGGTTAAAGTGTAGGAATAGCTTTGTAGCTAAACTTTCGCGTAATAAAGTCCTATTATAATAATAATAGTAATAATAATAATAAATGCTTTTATTGTCTCAATGAAACAAAAGGCAGAGTTCAACTCGCCGATAAATCGACAGCTGCTCTTCCACTCAACCATAATACTGGGCGATCTCAACCTATAGGCACAAACCCGGGAATCGACAGCTCATTATTATTATTATTATAATGAGTTGGAGTTGACTAATTCCGAGATACTAAGTCGGAATTCCGACATCATAAGTCGGAATTAGATAATTCCAAGATACTAAGTCGGAATTATGAAAAACAATTGCGATGACCCTTCAACGCCTTCGTATTCATGATACTTTTGAGACAACTTTTAGAACATTAAAATAAAGGTGTATACGATTTTTCAGCTCTTTATCTCTCTTGAACCTTTTTTTCTCAAATGACTAGGACTAGAGCAATCTTCGATATCAATAATCTTCTATTTTATTTCAGATGGTGAATCAAGCGATGTTCGCAAATTTCGGTCTGATTTTCGGTGAACAGCTCAAAGTGATGGCCAATGGACATGCTACTGGAATAACCGTAGTTTTAGCCATAAACGTCGTAGTTACGAACTTTGCTGGACTTTTAGTAGGTCCATGTTTGAAGAAGATCAGCCTGAGGAGTCTCACCTTCATCAGCATAGCGTTGGTCGGCAGCGGAATGATTTTATCCAGCTTTGCGACTGAAATTTGGCATGTTGTTGTTGGGTACAGTTTTTTCACAGGTGAGTCCGGCTGGGTTGAGGAAAATCTAGTTTTCCTACGAGCGTGCGAAAATAGTAATTTTCCTAACAAGTGCGGAAAGTGATTCTTTCCCGCACGTGACTGCCGTTGACACGAACGACGCGAAGCGGAGTTCGGGCAAGCAGTCGAGTGCGGGAAAGACACTTTCCGCATGAGTTAGGAACAATATTTTTTTTACAAGCGTAGGAAATTGATTGAATCGTTCAATTAATTATTCAAGCAAATAGGAACAACTAACAAGAGATATATATTCTCTATCTATTAATTATTAGTAAAAGCTATTGTGAACTTACAGTTTGACGCATTATGTTGGTTCATTGCGGAAGAGAGCAGGCCCATTAGGAGTTTGGTGTCTAGGTTCCAGACCGAGTTCCAGACACTTCTATGGAATGAGCCAAAAATACCTGTTCTTCATTCGGTTTTTTCATTTCTTCATTGTTGCACCATTCAATTGAACGCGTGTATAGCTTCTCATACCTTTCTTAAGACTTCGTTGGTGATATTAACGCATCTGTATCAAATCCCTATAGCTAGAAGTTTTTGATCACATTGTGGCATTTCCACTGAATCGAAAATGACAGTAACGCTGTGTCTGTCACTTCGACAATTTCAAACTTATTTGAGGTTTGATTGGCATGACAAATTGACGTTTCCCGTCAGATCAATCCAAATCTATAGGGGGATTTTTATAATAATCCATTTTTATTTCTCAATATTTCTTAATTTTTACAATAAATAGTGCAATTTGATGGATGATTCTGAACATACATACTTAATACTGCAACAAACAATCTTAAACTTTCATATTCCATCACCAACCACTTATATTACTAGCGATTATATCATATCTTTGTTTTCCCGCACTAGTGTGGGAAAATTTTTCCGTACTGTCGCGGGAAAATGACACTTTCCAAACTAAATTGCGTGCGGGTATAGGGTGAATCACGCACGCTTGTAGAAAAAGTAACTTTTCCGCATGAATTTTCGTTTTAAAAGTTTGACTTTTCCGCACGATTTTTCTTTCCCGCAGTAGTGGCAGTTAACAAATAAGCATTTCAAGCGTCATTTTTCCGTGTACGTAATTCCAATTAAAAATGGATAACTCTATTGTTGAAAATAAGGATAATCAGTAATAATTGAATGATCCATGTAATTATTCTGTCATATATGTCATTTTGCATCATTATGAAATATTGTTTTTCTGCAACCGACACAAAAGTCGTCCATTTTGATACCAAAAGTAGCTCTTAAATTGACGTTTCTATTACTGACACAAAAATAGGTAGGTTGCTAGGCAACATATTTAGTTCCTAGGAGCTAAAGTTGAATTTTAGTTCCTAGGAGCTAAAGTTGAACTTTAGCTCCTAGGAACTAAAAATGAAGTACTGGACGTCATCAAGAATGAACAACATTGTGACGATTGGTTATTTGGGTTGAGACGCATACCTGATTTGTTTTCGATTTCAGCAGATTTGGAATTTCATACCCATGCTGGAGATATAAATACACCTTATTATAGTTTAGTATTGGAATTATAAACATCTCAGCTAAGTATTTTTGTTTGATCAGGGAAGCCTTCAAGATTCAAATACTTGCTTGATCTGTATTTCATTCGTTATTCTCGGGATGGGTAACTTGTTTTTGAATAATCACGGCGAACAATAGTTTTTTGTCTCAAACAACGATATTGTTTAGCTTCATTTGATTATTGAGTGAAAAACATTGTTTTATAGAGAGGAGTAAATAATCGCCATTATCATTGTTGATATGCTCATTGACCTAACATTTTCCACGTCTTGTTCCTATAGCTGGCACTGGCGCGGTATTTGCTATTAGAGCACCTGGTCCATACACAAATATGTCACTCTGTGATTGTACTTATATTGAAACTACAATTCGAACATCCTTGAAAATTGAATGAACCTGCTGTTGATGCAGGTAGAATGTTCTCACTACACGGATTATTTGTCAATATTTGTTGCATTGCATACATATGGCACGGCATTGGTGGTAACTTCTCATATTTATTTGAGTTAATTGTTTCGGTTGCAGAAAAAATAGCATGTTTCATTCGGATCAAAAGTGACTTTGTTCGACTCGCAAATTTTGCTTTCGCTCGGCTTCGCTAAACGCTCCGCCTCGCAAATGCAAAATTCGCTTGTCAAACAAAGTGTCACTTTTGATCCTAATAAAACAATCTACTATTATCCCTTTGAGGCCGGAATTTATTTACTTGATATATTTTAATAGAAAAATGCACAAATTCATTCACAAGTGATTCTAGAATGTGTATATGCATGTCAATTTATTTTTAGACCTTGGCTGAAGGCTTCAGGACTTGTCCTCGGTTTGAATAAGACACTAGGCAATAAACATTGTTAAAATCACACAAGATGAATTTCCACTAATTCGTTTCAGTCGAGATTGACGCAGTGGACGAGCGCACGACTCATGGCCGCAAGGTCGTGGGTTCGAATCCCAACCAGGGCAAGGAATGTTTCTAATATTTGACTCAATATTGTTGAGTTTTGGAGCATCGGCTGGGGATAGTCCCGCACGATTCACTATAGCCTTCTTATTCACAGTGCTGCTCCTAAGTTGGCTTATGGAGTTAGTACCAAAGCCTGCACAGAACACACAATGCAGAACACTTTGGGCTAATGGACCTCAATGGTGGTCGTTGACCAGTTGGTGTGTACATACAGTATGATGCAAATGTATGGAATAAATTCATTTCAAAACAAGACGACTTCCAAAAAAAATCCAAAAACTAGAGTTCAGAACTTTTTTATTGTGTATTTTTTCAACTAGACGACCCTTCGATGTTCAATTCTCAGTAGCAGACCTCTGCAAGATTCAGTTAACCAAATGATGATCCATTTTCAAACGAGGTGTCACATGACCCCTGCTTGTATTTGAAAAAATCGTCCATTACGTTATTACTTCTACACCAGTGACGTAACATCTCTCATATGAATGTCATGAGATGAGGCTTCAAAAATTAAAACTCACGTGTTTTTGGAATTTCTTCAAATGGCGCCCATTTCTGAAATAATGAATTTATTCCATACATTTGCATCATACTGTATATACCAACGAAGTGCATATACTACTACTATTTCAGCTATCAACATAATCACAAATGTTAGTGGGATGATATTGAAAGAAACAATGTTTCTGGTCGCTGAGATATAATTTGACATCACAAGTAGAGCGAAATGAGAACAATTTTTCATCTGAACGAAAAAACAGGAGAGGTACTATTTCCCTTGTGTCCACAACGCGAGACCACTACTATGACATTTTTCAATGAGTTTCCACTGATTTGCAAAAGAAACCTCACCTGCCATATTGAAATGGACGAAAAAATAGAATGAAACAGTTGATCAGCAAAGGCAGTATGGAACCATGTTCATTAGTCTAAAACGGCTGTCTTCTCTTGCGAATTAGCTGAATAGTACGGGTTCCTATCAAGAGAAGGGACATTTGCGCATGCTCTTCAGAAAGTGGCTACAATATAAATACACTAGGCGACTGAGTAAAAATTATTAGAGTTGTGTCTCCATAGTGCAACCACTAGTACACAAAGGGTTATCAAAGATCTTTTTTTTTTCATACATTATATGGATAAAAACACTCGTAGAAAAAACCTTGATCTATCGGGACGGAAAATGTCTTTTCCGCCCGCCCGACCTTTGCTCCGCGTCGATCGTGCGAATGCCGTCGCGTGCGGAAAGGTACTACTTTCCGCACTAGTTAGGTAAATAACTATTTTCTAATCACATAACTCATTTTATGAACTATTGTGGTATTGACTTTGAGTTTCTCTCTCTTTGTGACCATTGCATTCCACTTTGAGTATTTGGCTTATTACTAGTTGAAAATACGCCAGTCGGGCAACCAGCCACTCCCATTTCACCTGAAATGGGATCTTGTTTTGAAGTGTTTCTTTCCTTGCCAGGTGGCGTTCGCGTTCATTTCGCGGACGTTGAACGTCTCGTGGGGTATAAATGCTGAGATGCGTGTACGTTGGGTCAGGTTCGCACCAGGTAGCGGTCAAAAACTATTTGGGACAGCCCTGTACTGATGAGAGCCAACAGCTCGAAACCGGTCTGCAGGTGGTCAGCGTTCCTGAACCACTTGAGCGCAGCTCGCCGTTTAGGAAGAAAACACTTGCGATTTTATTTGTCTAAACGAACTATCGCATAGATTTCGGGAGGATGTAATCCAACGTTCTGCATCGTATATAGCCAGGAAAGTAGTTGTTTTCCTCTCGTTATCTATCATTTCCGTTCATTTTGAGTATTTGGCTTTTTCCTATAGTTAAAATAGCATTTGGCGTTCGGATATGTACAACTACAACGCTTAATGATCGATTTATCACGGATTGATGATCTGTGATTTATTTAAAGAATTAAACACGTTACCATGGCAACACAATTTCTTAAACACATTACCATGAATTTTCAGAAATTGAAAACAAATTCAACATACGACTACCGTATAATAGAAGAAAACCATAGTTTTGATGATAATCTCGAAATTCTATACGTAGAAAATAAAGTAATGAAACTCAATTATTTTGAATCATTCACCACTGTCGAATTTGTTTTCATAGTAGTTGATAATATTTATTTCCTATCAACCCTTTCAAGTTATTCCGGTACACCGTATTTTAAAGTATATAGTTGGAACAGATACAGGGTGATCAGAATTCTGAATCTTGAAGCACCCTGTATTTGTTCTAATTGAATTCCAGTAGTTAGTGAATCAAAAATTAAGATAGAGACATGTAAGTCGTTTCGATCGATAATGAATAGTTTCGACACAAAAGAATCCTGAAATTAAAAAATCTCGATTTTGAACACCCTATATCTCTGTAATCATTCCTGCTAGACCCCAAGTGTGATACATTGATGGAATCAGCTCTTCAGGAAGAATCTAATAATGCAATAGAATACAGGGTGCTCCATTCAAAATAGCGAAGTTGCTAGTTGTTTCTTATAGAAGTGGCAACACTGTTTCGAAGAAAATATTTTAGTGGGATAGCGAATGTTCAATTATCAAAGCATCCCAATTTTCAGAATGTTCTGTCTTTTCGTTCTCCAGATACTTCTAATAGGCCATCCACCGTGGACCACCCTGTATATTGTGCCTAACTTCCGAAAATGAAGGTTTATCGAATCTGTTGCCACAGGTAACTAGTCCTTCAGGTTGGGAAAGTAGGATATATAAAAGTTGAGCAAGCCAAGATTGGTTTAGTTCATTGTACCAGTATATCACCTGACGAAGCTACTGTGTTATCGAAACATGTTGTGTGTTTAAGAATTTTTTGGAAATCTTATCGTTTGTGGAGTTTTTACATCTGCCATGGATTTCCATCAAGTAACGGCTGAGTCAATTCAAAAAATAAAAGAAGTGTGTTGATATATATTTAACTGAAAACATATTTTCGAGAAATAATGTATAAAATGCGAAACAACTTTTGTCTAAAGTTTCTTCGAAGGTCTCGGACTTGGTCTTCTGGCCTCTGGAACGTTTCTGGTCATAAACGACTACTTCACCACGAAGAAGAGCACAGCTGTGGGTATTTCCATGGCTGGTACTGCCATGGGTCAGATGTTGATGCCGACGTTCATAGGAATGCTGCTGAAGAAGTACGAGTACTCCGGCACCACCTTCATCCTGGGGTTCGTGAGCTTCACAGGAGTTATCGGCGCCATGTTTTTCAAGGTAATCTTCATTTATAGTTGCCTTTGGGGAAAGGATTATTCAGAACAAGTACATTGTGATATTTCGAAGACTGGAATACAAAAAATCGGAATCACTATATGTAGAGTGTCATTCATAAAGTCGCTGCATCATAAAATAGTTGTCAAGTCAAGAGTAGGCCCAGACCAGACTAACTTCGGAACCCTCACATCCAATATTTATATAATTACATCATTTTATTAGGCTTGCACGTTTCTCATGAGAGTTCCTTGGTCAGTATTCATAGCTCAATGTCAACGGATGATTTGATTAACTTAATATTTCTAAAACCCCCATGGTTCGAAATTACTAATATACCGTATGTTCTAGCCCATTTGGATGAAACATTCCTCATCTTCTAAGAATTTTAAATATGATAATGTTCGAAAAGTCATGTCACGAGTAGAACACTCGGTATATTAGTAATTTTTGGATGGGGTCTCACACCCAAGACCCTTCACTGGATATACACGGCAGTAATACGCCCAACACTTACGTACGGGTCCATTGTATGGTGGACCAGTACCAATAAGGGCAAGACCAACAGAGAACTGGATAAAGTCCAGCGACTGGCCTGCCTGGGAATAACAGGTGCTCTGAGAACGACGCCTACCAGGGCTGCCGCCTCTACACCTGTTCATACAAAACGAAGCCATGAGAACTGCTTACCGACTCAACGGTGCAAACCAGTGGGTCGGAACAGAAGCAGATCATGGACACTCCCTCATATGGAATAAGGCAAAGGAAAACTGTCCCATCCTCATGATGAGAAGGGATAATACCTTGCCAATTCTGAACTTCAACAAAGCCCCAAACACTGTCATCCCTACGAGGGAAGAATGGAATGACACAACACCTGGCGTGCCTCCTCCTAATGAGTCAATCTGGTACACGGATGGCTCAAAATTTGGGGGCAGTTCAGGTGCAGGGGTATACAATGAAGAAACAGGGGAAGAAATTTCAGTTCCTTTGGGCGAATATGCCTTAGTGTTCCAGGCAGAAGTACTTGCAATACTCACCTGCGTCCAAGGAAACCTAATTATGAGAGGTCGTAGACCAATCACTATATTATGCTCGGACAGCAAAGCTGCAATACTGGCTTTGCAATCCAATAGGATCACATCCAAATTGGTGTCCGAGTACAGAAAAGCCTTGGAAAACCTGGCAAAATCAAGAAAAGTCAGCCTCATGTGGGTCCCGGGACATTCGGGAATACCCGGAAACGAGGAGGCAGACAGACTGGCAAAGATCGGTTCAGGACGGACCTCGGTCGGACCGGAACCAATCTTGGGAATACCAAATAGCCTGGTAATGTCCTCTATAGAGGAACAGCTGCAAAAGCAATTCCTCAAAATATGGCAGGACACACCAGGAATGAGACAATCGAAGCTCCACATAAAGGAACCTTCGAAGAGGCTCGCAAAAGAGGTTTCATTCCTAAACAGGCAAAACCTTAAAATGGTAGTGGGGCTCCTAACGGGGCACAACCACCTCAATAGGCACCTAGAGCTTATTGGGATCAAGGATGACCCCCTTTGCAGATGGTGCCTGGAAGATGACGAAATGTCATCACATGTCCTCACTGAGTGTCCAGCACTGACGCATCAGAGGAGGGCTGTCCTTGGCAACATAATTTTGAGGCCAGAGGACGTAAAAGAGATCCAGCTGAGGAAGCTGCTGAACTTCTCCAAGGCAGTCGGCATACCCAGCTGAATGTCGTAACATGTGGGCGCACAATGGGCCCGAATAAGGAGGCCCACGTGCAGGGGGTTCACCCGCCCACCAGTGCTTCGAAGAAGAAGAAGAAGAAGATTAGTAATTTGGAACCATGAGGGTTTTATAAACATGGAGTTAATCAAATCATCCATTGAACTATGGAAGGAAACTGATCAAGTGATCAAGGAACTCTCATGAGAAATGTGAAAATCTAATAAACTGTTGTATATAAATATTGGATGTGAGGGATCCGAGTTCCGAAGTTAGTCTGGTCTGGGGCTACACTATGCTTCAATAAATATTGTTATGTTTGAAAATAGTCTCGTACTTTCAGCAATTCCTGAACTATTAGTGCCTATTTTAATATTACCTCTCGCAAGTCAAGCAAACCCCTTATAAATCGATATGGGGGAAATAACAATCCCACGTTGTCATTTCATGGTGGAGAACACCCATTATCGTGACCATATGGCCATTGGGAAAAAAGCTCAGACACGTCGATTGTCAGGATTGACTTTCTCAGATGCGAATTCGTTGGTTTACTAATATTTTCGAAGACGTCATCATCATACATTACATTATTATGAAATAAATCTCTTTTATTAATGGCAAATACGGTTATGTAACATGAGAAAAAAAAAGGAAATCATACAAAAAAAGCTCTCTTTTTGAAGGTATTATCAAATTAGGGTAGTGCTATGAAAAATGATAATGGCGCATAACTTGACGTCATCAGAATTCGAGTGAACTAAAAAATGCGCAGCTGAATGAGAAAATCGACCTATCTGAGCTTTTTCCCTTGAGGGTTTTGAGATGAAGTATAGAAAGTTGATATCTTTGAACCGGCAAGGACGAAATGTATGAAACTCCGTAGACAAGTGGAATGACGCAAAATGCATCTGATGTGATTGTTTTTGCATGGTAATAATGTATTGGTCTAATCGGAAGTACACTAAATATTTTTAATTTGAATAGGACAGCCTTTATTTTTGGGAAATTTCGATAGATCTAGATATTTCGAATTCGTACATACTGGGTTTAGTGAAAATATTCTGTAAAACGGGAAATAAAGCACTTCATATCTACTGAACCATTAATTTCATTTGTTTTATATCAATGGGAAAGGGAATGATAATAATAATTAGAACCAAATTATTTCGAATGTTCAAAAGCCTATATTAACAAATACCGGAAGTACTCTTCGTATAGATTAGTGAGTTGTTCACCCTCATAGATGATTCTTTGTCTCAATTTATTTCTGTAAATCACGATTAACTTGACCGTTTGTCAACAGTGATTACTAGACAGAACTCGTTTATATCTACTATCAATACAATACAAAGTAAATATCAATTTGCTTATCTACTCGTAACTACATGTTTTTTATCTCTGTGCGTAAAACTTTCAAGTGATTGTATTAACATTCATATTATTCGAGTGCAGAACGAAGATTTCAGGGATTATTAGTTTTGCTATTCTTTAGGTATAGTAGGAGGAGAGCCGGCTGCAAATTTCAACCGTCATCTGATAACGAAATTATATTTTTTCTGTGACGGGAAAAAAGTTTGGTATTTTATCTCTGTTGGTAGGTTATAAAATGTCACTATTCATAAATTACTTTTTTCCGTGGGAAAAAAGTTAGTACTTTTTCCCGGATATATGTCACATATATATACACTGTTGATGGCCTTTGTTGTGCTATAGTTCCGAAAAATGAGTCGATAATACCGTCTCCGAGAAAAAACTGCGAGTCCATTCATCTTCCATTCGACTTCACGGTTACGTATACCTATTACTAAACGACCACTGAATTCGCAAATTGAAATCAAATCACAGAATGAGACTGACAGAAGTGACGTCAGATATTTGATTACTTCAAAAGAATGACAAAGATGCCTACAACGCAGGTGTCCCTACCTACTGTTAAAAACTTAAAATTTCACGTCGATAATTTTCAGATTTTTTAAATAATGTAATATCTTCTCAATATTGATTCGTCCTTTCTTCTGTCACAGAAAAAAATAGTACACGGGAATAGTATTAGATTTTAGGTTTTTTTGTCTCCCTTCTCTACGCGTCGGGAGACAACACAACCTGGAGCTAAAATCTAGTACTTTTCTCCGTGGTATAATAAATATCTACTATTTCATAGAAACGAGGAGAGAAACCCCCAAAAATCTGTAATAATGAATATACCACCTCCTCGATTAACCTACAGACAGTGCTTATTGTTAGTGTATTATACACGGAAAGAATATTAGATTTTAGCTCACGGGTTTTTGTCTCCCTCCTCTACGCGTCGGGAGACAACACAACCTGGAGCTAAATAAAGTCTACCACTTTTTTTCCTTGTATAATAATATCATATCCTAGAGGAATGATATAACTGTTTGTTTCTTATGTTCATTTTTTTATTCGTTTTGTATTTTTGTTGTTCACTTTCACTATTCGTTCCTGTTTTTTGTAAGCACAAATCTTAAGTTTGTGATATTTGTAGTATTTTTGAATTGAGAATTAGATAATATGATTATTTTTGTATAGGAATGTTTGTTCTGTTTGTTTCTATTTTGTTGGGAATAGGTTACTTTTCTGTTTCCTGAAAGTACATAATGTTTTGGCGTCATATAGCTTTATTTCATTTTCCTTTCTTGCAATTCTTAAAGCATTAAAAAGAATAGTGGTCAAATAAGTTTTATCTGACTCTCTTATCATAAATGCTGGTGTTCCGCAAGGATCAATTCTAGCACCAACACTATTGCTACTATCCATATCAACGATTTGTTGGAAGCAACTTCATGCCCAGTACACAGCTTCGCGGATGATAGTACCCTCCATACCGCCGTCTCTTCCAGGGTTCCAATACCAGCCAGGAAAATCAGAAACGAACGAGGGAGATATATTGACAACATAAATATGAACTTGGCAACATATCTCGAATGGGAATCCAATAACTTGGTAGATTTCAATGCAAACATGCCTTTTCTGTAGAGAAGCCGATCTCACTGTGCCCAACATCAGCTTCTCACGAGTAACGATACCTTTGAAGACATCCATTTCGATGCTTGGTATTATTATCAGCAATAACCTTTCTTGGGAAAATCACGTGAGATCATCTGCTAAAAGGGCATCCCAAAAACTTGGTTTTCTGTTTCGGGCCAGGAGCTATTTCACTTCCAGTCCGCTGCTTGTGATCTATAAGGCACAGATTCGACCTGTCCTGGAATACTGTTCTCATATTTGGAGTGCAACACCCACACATACCCTGAAACTGTTGGATTCTGTCCAAAAAAGGACAATTCGTCTCGTGGGTGATGCCTCGCTCACAAACTCACTCACTTCTCTGGAACACTGTAAAAAAGTTGGCAACCTGCCTTTATTTTATAGATATTTTCATGAACGATGCTCTTCTGAAATATCAACAATTGTTCCTCCCTTGGGCAGTCCCCGCGAGATTAACCCGTCGAGTTGAGGCTTCGCACTCCTTCGTGGTCACTTCGGAGACCTGCAGAACATCTCTTACCGAAGACAACGAACAGCGCGACTCTGGAACACATTGTCAAGGGAGGTGTTCCAACACCAATTCCTACCTTATTTCCCTTGGTTCTCCGATGTTCTCTGAACATTACAGGATATCCCTTTTCGTGCGAACCAGAACATAAAAAAAATCTCAAACATATCTATTATAATCTACTGAAGTTTTGACAAGGTTTCACTGATGGATTAAAAATCGAACTGGCAAACCTAGTCCGCGCGGAGAGTGAGTGACAACAACTGTCATTTGCTGATGCCGAATTAATTATTCACGAAATCCGATAGATTTCACGTGTGAATAGGGCCATAATGTGAATCTTTTGTCTCGCCTGATTGCTAGCCTCGGCTTTCAATTCGCGGACTCGGCTATAAAAGACAGTGTTTCGTCCTTGGTACACGGATAACTATTTCATCAAACTTTCATGGATTTCGTCCTTTTCGTTTCAAACACTGTATTTTCAAATACCTACCCTGTTTTTTCGAACATACTAGCTTTAAGGTTTTATTTCTTCACAATTACAGCCTATTTTCTGTTGCAAAAAATGTGCAGTAGTACAACCCGACCAAGAAAAAGGAAAAGACGGAGAAATGACAAGTGAAAAAAAGGAATCGATATTAGAAAAGGAGGGAGAAAAGTTGCTTGCACAAAATGGTGGACGTCTAAAGAAGCAGGGAATTTTGAAACGTACTATAGAGAAAAACTATTCTGATTCTGCTCTCGAAGTGGGTTCCAGTAAGTAATATTTTTTTATTGATCATCCCCAGTTGTTATATTCGACCGTTTATATGCAGTGTTAATTAGAAGAGCTAGAAAGAATGTGCAATATGCAAAAGTTTTTCGGTTTTTCAAAACAAATTCGAACTTCATCAGAGAGTTACTGCTGAGTGAAATTGAGAAACTTGGATTGAGGTGTCAGTTTTTTTCAACACCCTTTCATAAGCTTCACCTGTATGTATATGTATGTATCTATGTATGCAACCGACTCCTTTGGACTCAATTTTGACCCACTTTAAACGGACAGATTGATTTGGAAATTGTCAGGTGTACATAGTGACATTTTTGTAATTCATTCTATTCAAAATTGGTATTTTGGGGTTTTCGATGTCAAAGATTATAATATTTTCGTCAAAATTGTTTTCTTACTGTTTCACTTGTTTCTGTATGATAGGGATCAGAATTGAGGAACGAAACACTGTATTCTCAGGAAAATAAACAGAACCAAACTCACAACTAGCGAAGATATCCCCACTTTTCTCTCGCAATTATGTACCAAACCGTTTCTGTTTGTTCCTCTTGCTATAATAGGGATCAAAATTGTATTTCCAATACACACTGGAGGAGGACAAGCAGACCAAGCTCGACAAGATCTCCAAGTCCTTGGGCCTGGACCTCCTCAAAGACGGCACCTTCGTCCACATAGTCACTGGCTTGGGTCTGGTGACGTCTTGTCCTACACCTTAAATCCTTCCTACCCATGTTTCCTTTTCTCTTCTTCTATTGATGAAATAAAGTTCATAACATGTTCACAGCTCATCTTCCCCAGCAGCAGAATTAAGTTACCAGCTGAATCTTTTGTTTTCTTACTGTTTCACTTGTATCTGTATGTTAGGGATCAAAATTGAGGAACAGACCAAACTCGCAACTCACGAAGATAACCCCACTTTCCACTCGCCATTATGTACCAAACCGTTTCTGTTGGTTCCTCTCGTTATGATAGGGATCAAAATTGTGTTTCCCGGTCAATACACACTAAAGGAGGACAAACAGACCAAGCTCGACAAGACCTTCAATGCCTTCCTACGCATGTTTTCTCTTCAATTGATGAATTAAAATTGAAAACATGTTCACACCTCATTTTGCCCAGCAGCAGAACTAAATTACGAGCTAAATCCATTTGATTTCTTGGAACACAAAAAAATAGGCCATCCCTCATTTCATGTACCTTCTTATACAAAGTCATAGTGGCTGAACTCTCTGTTATACATGTTACAATCATTGTGCCTTCGTATTCATTTGTCCTCACCAATACCTGGAGATTATTCATTGACATCGCTCTCCCCATTTTTCACCACCGAAGAACAATGCATTCGGCCTTGAAAGTAATTGTATCGGAGGTTCTATCCTACTGTCTATTATACATCTATTACATTTCGTATCGTTTCTCTTGTATCTGTATGATAGGGATACAAATTGAGGAACGAAACACTGTGATCTCAGAACGATAAACAGACCAAACTCCCAATTTTCGCTAGCAGTTATGTACCAAACCGTTTCTGTTTGTTCCTCTCGTTATAATAGGGACCAAAATTGTGTTTTCAGGTCAATACACACTGGAGGAGGACAAGCCGACCAAGCTCGACAAGATCTCCAAGTCCTTGGGCCTGGACCTCCTCAAAGACGGCACCTTCGTCCACATAGTCACTGGCTTGGGTCTGGTGTACGTCTCCTCCTACACCTTCAATGCCTTCCTGCCCATGTTTCTGCAGGACGAGGCGGAATTCTCCATGTTAGAGACCACCACTTGCATGACGGCCCTCTCCACTGCTGACGTCATAGGAAGGGTGACGGTGCCAGAGATATCCAGGCGGCTGCGGCTCAGCAACAAGAGGTCGTTCATGATCGGGTGTATCCTGTTGGCCATCACCAGATCATGTACGAACAAGTATTGTATTGTTATTGGTCATCTAATTCGTCCTCACTACACGTATATTGACATAATATTCATATTTTTATTTTATACTGAAAAAATGGATAAAACACCTCCTCGATTAACCTACAGACAGTATTTAAAGTATACATTACTTATAAACTTCACAACCGCGGATCTTTGGGAATAAGTTTCACCGGTATTGAAACACCTGTCTCAATTGAAGAATAAACTTCCAGATAATCAACACAATCATTGAAAAAATGGTGCTATGTAACCTTCATGTGGTATTTGTTTTATTGAATATGTACTGTTACTGTTCTATAGTCGGTGCGACCTGGCAGTGAGATAGCAACAATTTGCTGATGTAACATTACATATTACACTGAAATACTGCTGCAACACTGTTATAATAATACTTTGTTCAGTAGGTAGCTATTTATGATATCAGTGCGATGAATCAATTCATAGATAATCTGTTTTTTTTGTTATGGGACGGATACTTCGGAATAATTATTATTTAACTGAAAACAATACGCACCTACAATGCAGTTCAACACCTTGAAATATCAGCTCTCACTAGTATAAAAATGAATGTAAACCATACTTATTGATATTTTCACTTTTTCAGGTCTGGTTGAATTGGGGGTATTTCAGTACACCGCGGCCTTCTCTATCGTGGTCGGATATTTCCGAGCAGCTGCTGTCATCAATCAGAACCTGGTGATTTCTGAGTACATCAGCAAAGAGAAGCTGCCTTCTGCTGTCGGACTCAATATGGTGGTGAAAGCATTGCTCAGCTTGACCCTGGGACAATCTCTAGGTGAGAATCCACTTCTACAAACTCTCATACAACTGATATATATGTAATGCGAAGTTTTAGATACTCTGTGATTCAAAGGCTCAAATATTATGGATATACCCGAACAACTGGAAAATATTGAGAAATTACTAGTTTTCCTTGATCACTGTGTCCTCCCAACCATATATTTTTAAAACCATTGCAAATCGCAGCATTTCCTCTATGGAAGATACCTTTTTCAATAGTATCACGTCGTGGTATACAGGGTGTATCTGAATAACTCCAAAAAAATTCAAGGGTTGATTTCTTGTGATATCCTAGCAAATGAAGTTCATCAAACATGTGTCCTAACTTACTCCGTTTTTGAGATACAGGATGTTGAAGTTGGAAGTATTAACTGTTTTTATTTCTAACCCCTTATCTCGAAAACGAACTTTATTGCCTAAAATATCACAAGGAATCACCCCTTGAATTTTTTCGGTGATATTTAGATACACCCTGTATATTGAAGGTGAATTTTAAATATGTAGTCTAGCAAGAATTCATAGTAATATGCTTTCGAAATAATTGTAAGGAAATCAAGTACTTATATTATTATGAAACATTTAATCTTCTTGCTTGACGTTGAATTTTGATGAATAAAAATGCAGGTCAAGAGAAAAATTCAGAAAACACAAGATTCCCACCATGCTCACTTTTCATAGATTCGCACGATGCCCAATATATTAGATTTCAGCTCAGCACAACCTCGAGCTTAAATCTACAACTTTTTCCCCTTATTTATTGTAATAACTATTTTCATCAACATTTTTTTTATCGTTAGAACTTCTGAAAAAATATCTTGTGACTTATTTATCATCTGTATTGATTTGAATGTCTCCCTAGATACTTATCTTTGGGTAACTGAAAAGATGATAACCTGTAAGCTAAGATATACAAAGCAGAATATTCATGTGGAATTCAATTCAAACTTGGTGAATTTTTAAGAATGTTTACAATATTTCTGTATTTTTTGTTCAGCAGTCCTAGGTGCTTGGATTTTTACACAATAACTATGGATTACAGGTTTGCTGAAAGAACAAAGTGTATCATAAATAACTATTCTTATCCACATATTTTTCGTCATTTGAACTTCAGAAAAAATATCTTGTGACTTATTTATCATCTGTATTCATTTGAATTTCACCCTAGATACTTATCTTTGGGTAACAGAAGACATGATAACCTGTAAGCTGAGATATTCAATGCAGAATATTCAAGTTGAATTCAATTCAAATTAGATGAATTTTTGAGAATGTTGATAATAAACTAGGCAAAACTAATTTCGTCGTACCCCAAAATTTTGTCCCTGTTTAAATATGAATAACTTTTTTCTGCTTTGAACAATTTGAATTCAGATTACACTGGTCGCTAGCCCTGTCTTTCAGCTATAATCTCGTACTTCTTCAAAACATGAGTTTCTTCATATAAAATCGCTACAGGATGTGAAAAATTTCGGAATTTTCGAAAGGATCCCAAAAGAACAAGAACTTTTTTTTTTCAATTTCGATAGCAGAGGCATGAAGATGATCTCATGACCTAGGGATATTTTTCAAATTGTCTTCTCACCTCTTTTATTTACAGAGTGATCTCAAAAAATTAACTTTCTGGTTTTGCAGTCATAACTTGTTTCCTTGTCAAACAGTTTTGAAGCTGAAACTTCAGATGAAGAGATATGAAGATCAGAATTGACTCAAGATAGACGCCCCTCAACGCACTAGCGCGTTGGAGATATAACCTTCTGGGAGCATTAAACTCTCAAGAGGCTTTTCCAAAGGATGATTTGGTGAAGAGGCTGCTAAACCTTATCAAGGTAGCGAACCTGTTCACCTAAGTCAACAGCATGATCAGGAATACAATAGGGCCAAAGGCTGCAGTGTTTTGGGCTTCGAACCCTGACTGATCATTCTGCTATGAATCAATCAATCAATCCATCACCCCTGTATGTTTCGTAATTGTTGGGGTAGGATTCTGAAACTTACAGGAGCGGGAGATATACTGAACATAAACACTATGACCAAGTGGAGTCATCCTCAGTGATAAACACTGCTCGCCAACAGCCATGGAACCACCCAAATTTCCGGAAAATGTTATTAGATCCCAAGCTAGGTTTAAAATCACTTAGGATTCGAAATCAGGACGTCCAATTCACTGACTATACATAGTATTCCTGGAAAATGATCAGTTCAGAAAAATTGAATTTTGTCTTACTTCTCATGGAAGCACCCTCGTATATCACGTAATTATTGAGGTAGTGTTCTGAAATTTGCTGGAGGAAGCGAAAAGGATGTCCTGATTTCGAATCCAAAGTGGGTTTCGACCTATCTTGCCACCTTATATCATTTTTGTGGGTAGTTCCATGACTATTGGCGAGCAGTGTATATCACTGGAGACGACACCACTTGGTCATAGTGTGTATTTTCAGTATATCTACTGCTCTTGCAAATTCCAGAATCCCAACTCAACAATTACGAAAGGTACAGGGGTGCTTCTATTAGATGTGAGACACACTGTATAATATTCATCTTGAGTCAATTCTGATTTCCATATCTCTTCATCTGAAGCTTAAGCTTCAAAATGAGCCTGAGATTTCCAAAATCGGATGACGAGGAAAAAAGTTATGTTTGCAAAACCAAAAAGGTGATTTTCTGAAATCACTCTCGAAATAAAAGAGATAAGGAGACAATTAGATAACTGTCTCAAGATAATGAGATCATCTACATGCCTCTAGTGTCAAAGTTGAAAAAAAAGGTTTTCCCCATTTGAGATACTTTTGAAATTTCCGAAATTTTGCACAGTTTCAGGTAACACCCTGTAGCGATTTTATGTGAAGAACTTTATGTTTCAAATAATTACGAGATTATAGCTGAAGGACTGGGCTAGCGAACAGTGTGAAAAAAGATATTCATATTTCAACAGAGGCAGAATTTTGGGGTGCGACGAAATTATTGTTGCGTAGTTTATTTTCGTATTTTTTGTTGAGCATTCTTAGGTGCTTCGATTTATACATAATTACAATGGATTCCAGGTTTGCTGAAAGACCAATTGAGCTATTCAATCTCCATACACGTACTGAATGTGATCGTATTGGGTGTGGTATTGTCTTGGTTCTTCGAGACTATGGTAAGAAGAATAAGGTCATCGAGGAAGCCGAAGCCAATATGCACCATAGCCGAAGAGACAAATCCGAAGACATGAAGCAGGTTCTTAGAATAAGCTCTCATTTGATTGTAATAATTGTGATACTCAAGTACTTGTATATATTTTGATTATATCTATTTTTGTGTGTGTAAACATATACATATATATATATTTCAGTGAATGATTCCACTTTGGATAAACTTTTTTTTCAGAATCTATCATGGATAATTTTGATTTTCACTTATACCTATCCTGAAACGTTTATTCACCGAATAAGAATGAAAAACAATTAACTGAAGGCAAGGATTATACATGCTAGGTCGACGAAAAAATGTGATATTCACCTCGACGAAAAACTGTCCAATAATAATAATAATAAAAATAATAACGTTCATTCGCACAATCATCGACAAGAGATACATGAATATATATACGAAGTAGCAAATAAACAAAAGGAATCTGCAAAGCCTGATGGCTGTGTGTTAACTGAAATAAAAATAAAAATAAAAGTAGATTGTTTTATTAGGATCAAAAGTGACACTTTGTTTGACAAGCGAATTTTGCATTTGCGAGGCGGAGCGTTTAGCGAAGCCGAGCGAAAGCAAAATTTGCGAGTCAAACAAATTCACTTTTGATCCGAATGAAACATGCTATTTTTTCTGCAAACGAAACAATTAACTCAAATAAATATGTGAAGTAACCACCAATGCCGTGCCATATGTATGCAATGCAACAAATATCCGTGTGGTGAGAATATTCTACCTGCATTAACAGCAGGCTTATTCAATTTTCAAGTATGTTCGAATTGTAGTTTCAATATAAATACAACCACAGAGTGAAATATTTGTGTATGGACCAGATGCTCTAATGGCAAATACCGCGCCAGTGCCAGGTATAGGAACAAGACGTGGAAAATGTTAGGTTAGTGAGCATACCAACAATAATAATTGCGATTATTTATTCCTACAACGAATGAAATACCTATATATCAAGCTAGTATGTGAATTTTGAAGGCATTCCTGATCAAAACAAAAATACTAAACTATACCCTTGATTATATACACTAGTGTGAATACTCAAAGACTAATTTATATCTTCAGCATGAATATGAAATGCCAAAACTGTCGAAATCGGAACAAATCAGGTATGCGTCCCAACACTCCCCAACCCAAGTAACCAACCATAACAATGTTGTTTATTCTTGATGACCTCTAGTACTTCCTTTTTAGTGCCTAGGAGCTAAAACTGAACTTTAGCTCCTAGGAACTAAAAAGTTATACTTCAACTCCTAGGAACTAAATGTGTTGCCTAGCAACATACCTATTTTTGTGTCAGTAATAGAAACGTCAATTCAAGAGCTGATTTTGGCATCAAAATGGACGACTTTTGTGTCGGTTGCAGAAAAAATAGTTTTAATGATTTTATGTTACCTATATCTACTGCAACGAATAATCTAACCATACTCTAAAGTGACGATAGAAACATGAATAGGTAAATGATAGGGTAATCCCATAAAAGAAGCCTGCTTGTGCATGGGAAACACTGTAGCAACAATCCATCCCACGTATTCACGTATTATGATGACAATGACAATTGCATTATTCTTTCTTCCATTTTATTTTTTCTTTAATTTCATTTGGGGGGGGGAGGGGGGGGGTGCAGAGTTATGAAGATGGATTTCTTAGGAATAAAGTGGTGTTTTGACTTATTTATGAATTGGTCTTGTCTTGTCTAGGAATGGATTGGATTCATTTTTTAATTTAATTTTTGAACATGGTGAGTGACTTCAGCCTTTTGGTTACTACTGGTAATTCGTTATATAATTTGAGACCATGGTAAGTGAAAAACTCAAGCCAATACTTTTTTCCCGGCGAGGTACAATCAACCTTCTATTGATGTTATGCCTGGTGCTGTACATATGGTCAGTATGTTTTGAAGAATTAATTTCAATAAATATTTCAATAAAATGGTTTTAACATTGATGACAAAAATTCGAGTTTCACTGTATACATTATCTGTTGATCCAATTAGCAAACTCTACTATAATAGACAGTCTTTCGTCCTTGTTAAATAACTCTTTACCGATATTATTTTTTCCGTTCTGAATGAATCCATCTCGAGAAATATGCTGTATTTTTTTGCGCCTTTTCGTTTGTCAAGCAAAGCTGAAGAATATTCATTCTGACAGTTTATTTATTACCAAACACGAGGACGCCAGAACTTGAAATTCAAATAACAGCAGAAAAGTTATATTAAAACAGAATCCAAAGACTCATATCTCCAGATGATGTCCTGAAACTTTTATAATATTGTAAATAAAAGTTGACCACTTCGTCGTTTTTTCTCTGCCAATCATACTCTGAACTAGGGCACTGCAGTTGAAATGTTTCTTTTTACATGCTTTGTGAACATATTTATGACGTTTGTTACACTGATTCCATCCATCATCCATTTCTTGTTCTGCTTTATTGAACTGAAATATAGGAGAAATACGAATCCCATTTGATCATACACTAATCATGATCTTCAATCATTGATTAGTTTTACTATCAGACAATCCAAGAACCTGTCAAACTGAGTATAAATAGTAAATTGTTTTATTAGGATCAAAAGTGACACTTTTTGAGTCAAACAAAATCACTTTTGATCCGAATGAAACACATGCTATTTTTTCTCCAACCGAAACAATTAACTCAGTAACTGAAGTAGGTAACCACCAATGCCGTGCCATATTAATTATGCAATGCAACAAATAATCGGTGTGGTGAGAATATTCTACTTGCATTAACAGCAGGTTTATTCAATTTTCAAGGATGTTCGAATTGTAGTTTCAATATAAATACAACCACAGAGTGACATATTTGTGCATGGACCAGGTGCTCGAATGGCAAATACCGCGCCAGTGCCAGCTATAGGAACAAGACGTGGAAAATGTTAGGTTAGTGAGCACATCAACAATAATAATAGCGATTATTCATCCCTCTCCATACACTGTGTTTGACTTGATACTCGAATGACGGTGAAAAATATCGTTTTTTTAGACAAAAAACTATTGCTTGCCGTGATTATTCAAAAACAAGTTATCCATCCCGAGAATAACGAATGAAATACAGATCAAGCAAGTATTTGAATACGAGTCGATGCATAGATTTCGGGAGGATGTAATTCAATGTTCTGCGTGGTATTAGCCAGGAAAGTAGTTGTTTTTCTCCCGAAATCTACCATTGTTGTTCATTTTATGGACATTGTGTGGAAATGACGCTGAGCTATTCGCATTTAGTCTGAATATTTCTTGAATACTTGACACCCTGTGAGTGAGCTACTGCTGGGGTTATTGGTCGAAGAAACATTGAATTGGATTCAGTAGTGGTGCCATCCAGTCCACATAATCCACCTAATCTGACTACAAACAAGTATCTTTGTCGAATACGAATCCGCGTATTAGCCGAGGAAAAATTGCTACCCAGCCCACTTAGGAATTCTTGGCCAGACTTTCCTACAATCTGCCTACACAGAACCGAAGCAGTAAACACAATTAGCGTTTGTTTTCAACATTCTCATAAATCGGATTTGCACTTCTGTTGGAGATATAAATAAAGCGCCCTTATTGTCTTTTTCTTTTGCCTTTGTTTCCCGCCACCGTCAGTTGTTGCTAGATAGAGTCATTATGATTCCTGAATATGGTTCGAAACCGGACTGACTTGTTTATAGCTTCGGGAAACTGCTGGAATGAATAATACGGTTCGTTTTCGGTAACTCGCAAAATAATGTCGTTATCCTTGTTTTTGTTGGTGTTATCCCCACAGTTCAAAGATACATTATTTCTTTTCTTTTCAAATTCCGGAATACTTACATAGTTTTCTGAAAATTGCTCAGGTGTATGTCTAGTGTTTAGTTCACCAAGACTCATCAGACGAATGAAAACTTTCTAGAAACAAGCAACAAACATTCTGTTTATTCGTAACATGCCAAGATACCCAATTGAAGGGCTTAATGTGAAACAATGACAAGCCTCAGGAAGGTGAAAATGATATTTGACTTCGAATTTGAACAGAATATAATAAATCCAGTAACAACTTATAATTGGTTTTAGTCTTATATATGTCGATGTGTGATATGCGCTGTGGGAGTTTATAGGTATAAAGAATATTGATTTAAAAAAAAATTGGCTTGTTACATTATTCCATTTAGAATAATTAGGTATCCAAAATCTCACCGACGATTGCCCTAAATTTCGTCGAATTTTTCCTGTCGATCTCAAATAACATAACATATTTTATTTTTATTTATACAGACGGTTTCCATCGACTTGTCGATATTTCCGAGGATATTTCTTCAGATGTGTTTGTTTTTTTCTCCTTTTTCCTATTCATTCACCTGGAACAAAATGCAATAATATAATAAGCCACGTGACCACAAGCAACATTTGGAAAATAATACGTATTGCACAATTTTCATCACAAGAGTCACTACTATATGTACAGTCGTCTTCAGATAACATGTCGCACATGAACGGTGTTAGCTCTCTTAATCACCGCTGCAATAAGAGCGCTCATACCGTCCAACCGCGACATGTCCACTGAAGACGAGTGTACATAGTTAGGGTCACGGTCGCTGTCATCAAATGTCGACTCAAACTCCCTATTTTTCTTGATAAATAGTCAGAATTCACAGCATCATTTGTGTGGCTTGTCATCATATCGGGTAGTAACAAGAGAAAAAACAGACCTATGCAATAGTGTGACCATAGGTTTTTCGTTCTTTAACGCACCACTAATTCTGACGCACCCCAAAATTTTGTCCCTGTTGAAATATGGATAACTTTTTTCAGCTTTAAACAATTTGAATTCTGATTACACTGTTCGCTAGCCCAGTCCTTCAGTTATAATCTCGTACTCCTTTGAAACATGTTGGTTTCTATAATAACATTTTCCGGAAATTTGGGTGGATCCATTATGGCTGTTGGCGAGCAGTGTATATCACTGGAGATGACTCCACTTGGTCATAGTGTGTATTCTCAGTATATCTACCGCTCTTGCAAATTTCAGAATCCTAACTCAACAAATACGAAAGATACAGGGGTGCTTCCATTAGAAGTTAGACACACTGTATAATGTTCATCTTGAGTCAATTCTCATCTTCATATCTCTTCATCTGAAGATTAAGCTTCGAGATGAGCCTGAGATTTCAAAAATGGGTTGACGAGGAGAGAAGTTAT